TCATATATATCACTGAAGTCTGCACACATCGATCAAAAACCCACAGTGGTGCAAGTATGCAGGGCTACTTTCATCGACAACTAAAGTACTCCTCACATATACCTTTTACGCGCATGTAAAGAGAAATTTTATGCAGCATTTGTGCTCTGTTGTATATTAGTAACTTATGTTTCACGTAATGATTGATCATAATGTCTATAGAATGTATATTTCTTTTTCCTTGATAAATTTTGATTTGTTTGTCTGCTTTGTGGCGCCTATTCCAATTCTGATTTGTTTTTTTATTTAAGCAGATAAGAAATAACGATGAGTGCAAACAAAGTTCCTCTCGACGAAATTCAAGGAATCTCTTCGACGAATGTACCAGCCTATTCAAATGCTAATAGAAAGATCTTTTCTATCGAACGACACTATTCTTATGGCATCTTCACAGGACTTAAATGGCAATGCGTCGAATTCGCTCGTAGATGGCTTTTGCTGCGTAAGAGTTGCACATTTAAAAATATTGGGTGCGCTGCTGATATATGGCATGGAATAACAAATGTCGAACGGGTCACTGACGGTCAACATTTTCCACTAAAAACTCAGCGTAATGGTTCTCTAGAGGCGCCGAAAACCGGTTCCTTTCTTATTTATCCTCGAAGTTTGAGACAACATTTTGGACACATCTCAGTGATATGTGAAGTTGTCCCAGGTTTTGTACGTGTCGCCGAGCAAAACGATAATTTCCACCTTTGGCCAGGTGACTATTCTCGCGAAATCCCACTGATATCTAAGAATGGTGCTTACTGGATCGAAGATCGTGATGAAATTTACGGCTGGATGGAAATTGTAGATGATAACAATGAATTACAACCCTTCGATGAATCCGTAATGGATACTGTTCTTGAGAAATATCGGCAGCCGCCGACGGTTAGCAAAATAGAACGCTGCATAAACTTCTGCGGAAGTTTATCACGAAAAAAAAACTGATAGACAAGCAGTTATTACTGCTTTAAAGACAACGATGAACTGTCACGAAGTAAATCATCATCAAGCAAACATAATTAACAAAGTAGAAAAAGTTCAGAATGCAAATGTATCTATCGCATCATGATTCTTTCGTTTTTATATATGGAAAAGGACTTTTGGATTGTTCTTTTTGATGAGATTCTTCCTGTGCAGCATATTACTTCTAAAAATCTTTCACACTCAACTGAACGGGTCTATCGAATGTTGTGCATAGTTTAACCAAAACACTTACAAACTGTATGTAAGGTAAAGGAGCTGTATTGTACTTCTTAAGATACTACGTACGCCGTCTAACTGGTAATGCATCACCAATAGACATCAGTACTTTGCCTATGATTGTTCTTACGTTGCTTACCAACGCTGAAAATCATACAGAAAGCTAAATTTTGGCTTGTTATTCAATCTACTAGTTCTTTTTGTTAAAGCCTGCATCTTAATAGCGCGACCATGTTACGCTGATATGTTTTACACATATTCATAGTAGTCAAATTTCAAGAAAAATTCTCTTTTTTTAGATTTGTTTTTGATTTCTTAAGAGACGTTTTACCAGCCCAGCGAGAAAAGCTATCAAGTAAAATTTTCTGACCTATAGTTTTTTTTCTATTTTTTGATCCTAGAGACTTAAAAGTCTTTTACTCAGTAGTGTGCTATTATCGACTATGTACGAGCATCTTTTTGTAACGATATAAATATTTTACCTGTGGAAAATAGCGACATATTAGTAGAGCAGTGAGAAGAATGCTTTGAGTGCTATAAATATTCTTTGAATCAGTCAAAAGCCATCTTAAACTAACTCGAAACAGTTAACGTAATAGTAACAGAACATCGTAACGGCGACTATCTCTGATTATTTCAATAAGGAAAAAAAGCTTTTTCTTTCTAAAACTTTTGTTTTGTTGAATAGCCATCACATTTTGCTACAACTTTCATATAGAAAGAATCTTTTAAAAATGCCTCAGTTGGCAGATGTTTTATCTCTACGTAGTGCGGGTTGAAATTTACCTGTTCTTCGTAACGACATAACGCCCTCTATTTTGCATTTTTTTCCGTAGCACCCTCACCAAATTATTCACCCCATTAGAACTCGTCGAGAACGCGGCGTCACATATTTCAACGCAATGAACTCTGTAGCTAACGCTTGGACAGATCGTAGTTTAGTCAGAATTAAATAAATCCGCTTCGCTTCCAGTGTAGCTATTTATGTTCAACAGAAGTATATACCATCATTGGCATGAACAATGCTTCGCAAGATGGTATTGTAATTATATATGTCTGTATACATATTATACAATAGATTTGCCTGTAACGTTTTTGTTGACTACAGCTCTGCTATTTCGTCTGTTTATCGCAAGACAATAAAGACATATAAGCCAACTTACATCACACCCTGACTAAAATATAACTGACAATAATATTACTTCACAATTTTAAATGTAGCTTTCACAGAATAAAATTCAATTACATCTATGGTTCCGTTTTATTTATTTCAGATAATACGAGCACCATTGAGATAGTTCACATCACCTGAACGTTAGCACTCACGTTCAAACAACGCAAATTGACTGCAGGATTCTATTCTTTTTAAAGAGACATAAACTTTAAGGAGGATTCTGTCGCTCGTTTTTTTGTTGTTTTGTGGAGGACAGTTAAATACATACGGTAAAAATTTTTCGGTCACCGAACTTGTAGTTTTTGAGAAAACTATTGTTTAACATTTTCCTCGTTTTTTTGCCGTTATTTTAAAATTTCTAGTTATAACCTCGGTTATTATGTCAATCGATAGAGGAGATCAAGGTGCATTTGAATTATAAAAAAATTCGGACAAGTTTTGACCGAGTTATTTCGCTTTGACCTACCCCATGGAATTTTGGAGCAAAAAGTTATTTTTAATGTTACCTTGAACCAAATTTCGCTGGAAGGGAAGCACTTTCAAGGAAAAGTATGGATAAAAAAGTTGTTAATATTCCAGAGAATCTGATTCTGAACAACTTGTATATCCATACTTTTCCTTTAAAATGCTTCCCTTCCAGCGAAATTTGGTTCAAGATGCTTTTAAAAAGCTCATTTTCAGCCTAAAATGACACTGAAATGACAAAAAGACATGCAGACAGTTTGAAAGAAGAAAAGTATCAAGTCCTTCCACTTTGATGGCCAAGTGGTTTATTTTATTAAGAATACTACACGGTTTTTATTTGTTCGTTTAAGCTTTATTGCAACTAAGCAGTTTTTATTTTCTACGCTGTCCAGAAATTTTTTAGTACAACAGTCGTCTGTTCATCTCCTCTAGTCTCTTGATATTTTCCGAATTTTTGTTTCTTTGTTTTTACTCCAGTATATTCTCGCATACCATTTGGAAAAAATGAGTTCTAATAATATCAAGAATTATTTTTGGATGGACAAGAGTATCTTGAAGATCAACAGATTTTCAACGAAAGAAATCAAAAAAGTGATTTTTTATAATTTGATGTACCAAGAAAGAGGAGAACAATTCCTTCATCAGAGAAAATTGATTTCTTGAACGAATTGAATTTTATCGCAGAAGAATTAAGTAATCAATTAAAGATGATGTACAAAACTACGTTAGTTACATGTTAATATTTGATTATGTTTCTAATTATGAATTGAATGATATACTTTGAATTTTTTGTACTGCTACTGATGAAAATTTAGCAAATAAATTAAAACATCTAGCTATAAATACTATTTGTACGAATATAAAAACAATTTTATCTCGATTTATTTAACTATTATCTATATTCGTATATAATATCTCAAGATAAAGAAATTAGTATTAATTTTCATAAAAAGGAAGAAAAGAATACTAACTTGTTCTTGTTCTTATTCCAGTTGTGTTTTCCAAACATTTTTCTTTCGTTTCGCGCTTGAATTAGATTTTTACGATGGAAGACCATTGAACAGAAAACATTTTAAAAAGGATTCGATATTCAAAACTTGTCTTGAATTTTTCAGATAATTAATCTTTTTCTCAATCAGATAGTAACTGTAAGCCGAGAAAACTTCAGGATATCTATTTCAAAGTGATCAAGTACCAGCAAAATCTAAATGGGAGGACGCTATCTTAAACAGAGCGACTGTGTAGCAGAAAACGTGAAAATCTTTACATAGTTCTTTCTTGGTTGTTTTATTGTACGTTAACGAAGGTTTTAACCGTTATTGCTGAGTGAATAAAAAACTAATGTGGCAAAGTGTTTTTCAATTTTAGCAGAGATTTGAATCGAGAATTTTGATAAGATTTTAATGCTGATACTAATCATACATAAGTTAGTTCTTTTCTTCCTCGGCTCGAAATACCCTTTTTGGCGGAAAACAAGAAAATTGAGATAAATTGAAGACTACGCCTTATCAAACCATTTCGAACACTTTTAATACGGACATTCGTGATCGCCGTGATCGATTACACATTACCAGGTGGGTTCGGAAAAAATCACAAACCAAAAGTTCTCCATAAATCCTGGAGGGGACCTCAGGCCTCAAAAACCTGACCGAGAAATGTCCCGAAACTAAATGTCTGAAAATATTCCTCAGCATCTCCTGACATGGTTCCAATGCAAAAAAAAACGAAAATTTTGGGGGCCAGGAAAGAGTCTTATCTGCCCTACTCCTTTATGGGAGATCTAAGTTTGAAAGCCTTAAAATTCCATAAAATAATATATTAATGAAATTTTATTTTTAAATCTTATTTTGATACATCTTTTTATGCATAAAAAATTAGAAAAATTAAAATTTAAAAATCTGTTACTTAATGCTCATTCATATCACACGTTATCATGACAAAAAATTGATGAACAAATTCAGACATAGAAGAGTCTAGTAATTTTAAAGATCCGTTAGAAATATGTATATGGATCTATTTCATTTAAACGCACAAAAATGAATTCAATTTGATATATATATATTATATACAATTGAATATATTAAATATATTCAATAATGTCAATGTTGTATATACAATTATATATAAATGACTACTAGAATCTATCCATTGTTATTGTTGATAATTCACTATTTTTATCTGATAATCTCATTTGTTTTATTTTATGTTTCTCAGTTTTTGATGTTGTTTTATCTCCACTAATTATATTTGATAATGGAATTAATATAAGTTTAAATATAAGACATAATAAACCAAATATTTCTAAACAAACAATTGTAATAAGTAAATTTTTAAAAATAGCTTCACCACGTTTAACAATTGGTTTTTGTTCATTTTTAATATAATATGTTGTTTCAGTTAAAATAATTTGAATTATTGTTGATAAAGATTTTAAATTAATATAATCATTTTGTGTAAGATACATTTGATCAGTATCAAATATAAATGTTGGTAACCATAGGCCACTAAATTCCGTCTTATAATGATCATATAATGGTTCTGTTTCATTCATTATTTTTGTTAATTGTAATTCAATATTAATTGCTTGTGATAATATATGATCTTGTTGAACAAATAATTCATAAAATTTTAAATATAAAACTTTATATAATTCATCATCCGATACTATTTCATCTGATTGTAATCCTATTCGAAGTCCTCCAATTGTATAACTACCATCAAGTATCAATTGTAAAGTCATACGTTGTGATGGTAATAAAACAGATAGTGAAATAATTCCTTTTTTATACACACAACTAGCTATAGGTAATAAAATTTGATTATTTCCTTTAATTTGTGCAATTTTAATATCATCACATATAAATAATGTATTAATTAAATCAAGATTTAATTGAAATTTTTGCTCCGTTAATAGATCAAATAAATGTTGTTCTTCTTCAATTAATGGTATACCCAATGATTGTAAATTAGATGAAAATTTAGAATTAGATAATGATAAACTACAAGCATATGTAGATGGTTTTGCTCGTTCAATTGGATATGTATCAACATATTCTCCAGTAAAATAGTATGAATAACAAAGTATAATTAATAATGCACATGTTATTAAACCACCAATTGGTACAACTTTACCTTCTGTTACTAAATCAATATATTTAAAAAAATTTTCTAAATATAAACGTGTTTTTAAAATATGTGGTTGTTTTGTATAATATTTAGAAAATGTCATAAGTATAAGTATAATAATGGCAAGTATAATAAACATTAATGACCAAAAGAGTGGTGATATAACAATACAATGATAAGATGAACCAATACGAAATATATTACCAAATAGAATATCATCAAATATTGTTGATTCAGGTGATCGTGGATATGCTTGTACTTGTGTTAATTTAGAATATTGTGTATAATCAATTTCTGTAATTGAACCTAATGTTGGACAATTTATTGGTGATTGACATTCAACACAATTAGTTCGATCATAACCAGACGCTTTTGTTCCAGATAAACATAGATCACATGAGTGAATTCCACTCATATTTTTATACATACCAAAGGAACAGTTGCGTGGAACGGCATCTTGATTAAGAGCATAAAATTGAGAATAAAAACCAGGTTGAGTGTAGAAAATAATTGATGACATTCCCTTTATATCAATTATGACTAATCCAAATTGATTATATGTAATAAAAATTAATGATGGATCCATATTTGATATCAATGGTTGTTGATAATTCGGTAATATTGAAATTGGATTTGTTGTTGATATTTGAAAATTATTATAGAGATAAATTTGAGATGATACCCATTGATACGATGAAGTATAAATGTTGTATAGAATAGCTGAGTAGTTATTGTTTAACCAGGCAACAGATTTTCCGTAGCCAACATTTTTCTGTCCCTTACTTTCACTTTTAACATGTAAAAGTCCTTGTTGAAGATATAATGGATCAACATAAAGTAAAATGACGGTACTAGCTAATGGCATACCAAATAATATTTGTCCATCATCATTGATACTAATAGATTGTTGACATGCACCATCAACATAAAAATCGACACAATAATATGTTATAGATGCTTCCCAACTATCTGAAGATGGTGAATAACACCATTGATCTAAAATAAATATACCAGATGAATTATATGTAAATAAACGTACACAAGGTTGATATGAAGAATTGCCAGTTGTATCAATATAACCTGTTATAACACCGAAATTTAGATGAAAATCTACTGCAAATGGTATAAAATTATTAGACCATGTTTGTGTTTTTACACTATCATGCAATATATTATAAATAATGATTATATCTCTTCTAAATCCAAATGCATATTGTCCAAACGGATCTATACCAACAATATAATTTCCAGTAAAATCTAATTCTGGAAAAAAATGAATTTTATATTGAAATTCTGTACAAAAATATTTATATAAATTAAGTTCAAGAAACATGGATGCAGTTATATTTGTATAATTTAATATACCAATAAATGTGGCATCATTCATAGTATTAAAACCACCAAAAACAAAATATTGTTGAGTTTGATTTTGTTTCTTACCAATAGCAACATTATAGATAAAATCAGATGTTGTATTATAATACAAAAATTGACAAGGTAAACCATAGATCCATTGATTGTATGGTGAAAAATTAATTTCAAAATAATTATTATTATTATCGGCTGTAACTGTAAGAATATTATTTGTTGCTAATTTATTACCAAATGCTTCAAAATTGTTAATTTCATCGTTTAATTGTAATAAAATATCATCAGAAGCAGTAGTGAGTGCTGAACATGATAAAATAATAATAGCAAATAGAACACTGTACATAATTCTAATTTGAATACAAAATATTGTATTGTATATTGTAAAAAGAAAGAAAAATAAATATTTATATAATATTTTTCTCGTGTTTAGACTCTACTTGTATACGTATATAAATTTTGATAGATTAACCCATATGTATGTATATGTGCCTGTTGGACCGATAAACATTAATCTTCAAGTTGTCATTTATAAGAATATTTGATAATATCCATTCAGCGATCTCGACAAGTTACAGGCGATTAATCATTCATAATTTTTCTTATAATCAAGTACATTTTGAGTATAAAAAAATTCTCTTTGACATTTTTTGTCGAAGTTTTGGATATATAGTTAAGCTTCAGCAAAAGCAAAAAAGTTTCATGCCAAAAGAAAACACTTAATATTGACATTTAACGGCAAAGAAATGCGAAAATAGATAGATAAGCAGTTCTTAACGCTGTGTTGAAAATACTACGTCATCTACAGATACCGACAGCTCGTTATGCGCGAAGGGATATCTATCATTGCCGTCATTTTGCAAAAAGATGTTGTAGTCACTTAACGTATACTGCAATTCTTTTCAGACGATTACAGACGCGTTGCATGAAAAAATTGCTATGACTTTTACCATGACCTCATAAACAGATTGAAGTGAATGTTAGATATAAAGGATTTTTTGTTAAGGACACTCTGCTAGATATGCAGAAAGACGTGTGTCATTAACCTACATAGGGTTTACTGACTTGACAGTAGTGAAACTTATTTTAAGAAGAGTTAAACCGCTTGTATTTTTCAATAGAATATTCATATTTAGAACACAGGATTGATTTGTAAAACAAATTTTATATTTAAAAATATAGTTTCCTTAAAACTGAAAGTCTAACGAAAGAACCATCTCAGATGTCCACCTCCTCCGTCTTCAATGATATTAGACCTGATAAGAGAGAATATTGCTCTAACGAGGGAGCCTCCCGAGGTGATAAATCGCTCTTTGATCGACATCTGGTGGGTTATATGTTATCGACCATGCTGATTCCGAATATGACCATGGGACTTCCACATAGCTCTTAGAAGATCCAGTCTTCTGGAAAATCAGTTTTTCAGAAACCCCACAAAATAACCCAAACCTTTTTTAACAATTTAAGATTGTAGCGCGCAAATTTCTGATTAAAATGAAACATCCCCCAGCTCTACACGACCTTTCTTTGCAAAGTTATAGAATTTATAAGAAGAGCCCTAAATTGTTCATTGTCAGCTCAAAGCTACAGAAATAAGAAGGAAAAAATTAATTTAGGGCTCTTCTTATAAATTCTATAACTTTGCAAAGAAAGATCGTGTAGAGCTGGGAGATGTTTCATTTTAATCAGAAATTTGCGCGCTACAATTCTGAATTGTTAAGAAAGGCTTGGGTTATTTTTCGGAGTTTCTGAAAAACTGGTTTTCCAGAAGACTGGATCTTCGAAGAGATATGGGGAAGCCCCATGGTCATATTCGGAATCAGCATGGTCGATAATCACTATCGATCAAAAACCGATTTATCACCTCGAGAGATTCCCTCGTCAGATGAAAAAAATATTATTTCAGACACTTGTGTCGTCTATCTTCAGAAAGGTTATAATTTCAACTGTCGAACACACGATAATGCGGATTGCGTTTCATATTACCAATTGTGTATAAATCGGTGTGCCAATCATGAAGATGATTTACTATGTTTTTACAATAGAAAAACTAGTCATGAAAGGGATGTATGTAACAATACTTTAGATACTTTATGTTTAATGGTGAATGTAAGCCGAACGCATGCTATAACAAGCACTTTGACTGCTCAGATGGTGAAGATGAGTACTGGTGCACTTATCCAACTAGCGCCGATAACAGAGCAATATACAGGCTTTCAAAAAAGGAAGAATTGGCGTCTGGTCGACGAACGATGATGTTAATGTTTTACCCACTGGAAAACGATTTTTTTCAACAGCCGAATCATCCTTTTTCAATGATGCTTCATCGTCAATCCGTTAGACACGAGCAGAATTACGTCAGTGATGACGTTAGAGCAGTTCATATGTGTAATCGTGGTATTTCTGTATACAAACATATTAATCAACAACGGATTTGTTTCTGTCGTCCTAGGGGATCGTTCGTTATGTACGTCCTCCGACGGAAAGTGCGAGAGACTTTGTTTTTATTCATCTCTATGTTCAAATCACTAATCAAAATCAAATTGTGTTCCCTCTGAACGAGTTTAGGTCTGTATTTAATACAAAAATTAGACCATATTTTCATAAAGAGTCTCAGCCGCTAACTTTTCCCACACCTTCTTTCCAAGTTTGTTCGAACATACTTAATCACAAGAATTCTAGCTTCTACGGTCAATTTTGCCAATTGTTTAGTGATCGTATAGCCGTCATAACACATTTATATCTATTAAATTATACTGATGATCAACACATGGTAATCATAATTATTGCTGCATTTTATTTCAATGGAAAAATTCTTGATAAAATCTCAGAAAAAGAAGTTAAAGGCTCCAATCCTATTCGACTAAACGGAGTTGACTAATCTACCGTCCTTTGTAACTATTCTTTTCCCTAAGAGTGATATCCATGCACGAATAAATAACCGTCTTAAACCGCAGTTCCCAAGGTTCTTAATCGTATAAACCGCAGTTTTAAATGATTTTGAAAAACTGAGTGCATCATATTAACCCGTTACACCGCGCATGGAGTAGTTTATGATTTTCTTAACCACGGTTCTTCACGGTTTAAAATTGACTGCGCGACATCAGAAACTCTCTATAGAGGATTATAAAAAGAAGTTACTGGCTTTATGGTGCAAGGCGAAAAATTGAAAATCTGTTTTCAATTTTTCCTGCAAACTTGCAGTTTTGGAGAAAATCAAATTTGCGAGAATAGATGTCGCTACTGTGAAATTTCAAATGCATTTATCGCGTCAACTCCAAATTTGCAGAAAAAAATTAAAAACAGCAAACGAAAGCTAATTAAAATCTGAATTTATTCTGAAAGATTTAGTGAATAAATTTCAGTTAGAAAAACATATATGCATTCGCTACCCATTCGACGAATGAAATGTCTTGTTTTTTAGCAGTCCTTCTTTGTTTTATCTATCTCGTTTTTCTTTCGAGTGACTACAGAGAACTGTAAGACTTGCCTTAGACTTTCATAGAGAATTAACAGCGAGAAATCAAAGAGCAAAGCGAAAAACAAAGAAACTGTCAACTATTTCTTCAAGTTTCTTTCAACTTCTAGCAGCAGTAGTAAGGCGCGCGTAATTCAAAGATTCCATGACCTCTTATATTTCTTTTAAATACATATCCTCCGGAAAAATATAGTTTCAGTCGGTATTTCTCATATATTGTCATTATAACAAAATAGTTTTTAAAAACCAATGAGATATTCTGAAAGCCCGTGGAGTTTTCTGTAACCCTATGTATTTACATTTTGGTTTTCGGTTACGTATCATGGAAAAAAATCGGGTACAGCACAAGCACCCTCAACCCGAGATTCCCCGACACAAAATTTTTTTGTGCACTCAAAGTTAGTTTTTTAATTTTTTCACCAC